CGAATTATACAAATCTGTGAATTATACTAGCGAGACAACTTAAACTGTAGCTACAACCCATAAATATGCAAACTATAGTTATGGTGCATAATTAAGTTTATTATAGTGACTATTTGCGAAAGTTCCTCTTTATCATTTACTACTATTAATTGATAGGGTCCTAAATAAATTGAAGGTATAATTGAAAAAAATAAATTCTCCTTTCTTATTTGTCAAAATGACGAATAAAAAGGTATATCAAATCAGGAAATATTGACAAGTAAAAAAAGGAATGGTGGGAGTAGTTGTAGATTATGATTTACTTTACTCATTCATATGTCTTTATGAAAGTTCCCCTTCTCTTCTTTTGTTTATTTTTTTAAAAAAAGTTAAAGCTTCTAGAAAATTTTCAGTGCTACCTTGCAAGTTGCATGGAACTAGAAAAAGAGAATAAAAGAATTATAATGGCTCCAGTTAATTAATTCCTTTAATTATGGAGATCTTTTTGTGTCGAGGGGCTGCATCTTTCTAACTAACTAAATATTTTTTTTGATATTTAATAGGGGGCCTGGCAATTGGCATCATGACTTAACGCACTGTTATTTTGATAGATATTTATTTGCACTAGGAAAAAACTAAATCAAATTAACAAATTATGATTAAATAATTTAATATTTTGAGAATACATACTAATTGATCATTGTTAAATAATGTAAGTCTACGCATATGCGAACACATCGAATTCTTCTTTTGGAATATTAATATCGATAATCGGGTGCAATTAAGATTTTATCATATTATTATTATTACGCAAGATTAAAAAGATTCGAAAAGATATTTCAGTATATTTTTTCTTTAAGAATTTTGTCAAATTTTTGTTTCTTTTATCGACAATTTGACTATAAGATGATGGCCCCGCTGAATATTTCTGATACAAGTAATAAAAAGGTCAAACACTCAAATTATTATTAATTGGCCGGTAGAGAATCAAGACAGCCCATGTTACCTTTTATCGGTTGAATAATAATGTACTCCAGTAATCAATTTGCAGGTATAGTGTGACAATAGTTTTTTGTTTATTTATTTTTATATATAATCTAAAACATATTTAGTGATAATTGAATTAATGTCATTATATTTAAAGTTCTTAAAGCTTTTAGCGATATATAAAGAATGTTCTTTATAAACATTATATTTATTATTATTATTAAATGTAAAATAATTATATTATTATCGTTAAATAATTAGAAAATTCTTTATTTGTTATAGTGGACTAATAACCAAATTTAGTAATTACCAGTTTACATCTAGCAAGCAACAACTTTTGGTCATATTTATAAGTAATATATAAATAATAGTGTAAATCATAGGCAGATAAGTATTTACCCAAGAAACAACTTTCGGTCATATTTATTAGTAATATATTGACATATTTATAAATAATAAATATCGTAAATTACGAGAAAAATCATTATAATAGAGTTAAAAATATGAAGGAAGTCTCTTAAATTATCTCAAAAACTAATTATAGTCTGTAAGTAGTTGTATATATGGATAATATAAAGAGCAGCTTTCACATATAGCAAATACAAAAATCATATTTGTATGTTATAACTATAGTTTGCATAATTGCGCTCCATAACAAACAATAAATGTGTATATTTCACTATACATATACAAAAGAAAGCAGTTGTATATAATCTATTTCTGTTTCGGTATACATATACAAAAGATCAATTGTATAATCTTTGTTTGTATAAAGCTAGAAAGAGAGAAATGCAAAAGAGAACTGGGCAGAGAAATATTTGTATTGTATAATTATAAGTGTATAGGGCAAATATATATGTATTTGCATGTGTATATACAAATTTATCTCGTTTTATACAAACAGAAACACAATTTATACATTTTTGTTTGTATAAGCGAGAGAGGCTAGGGAGAGACTGGCGAGCGAGATCTGGGAGAGGGGAGAGAGGGGAACGAAAATATATGTATATATACAATTTTCTCTCGCTTTATACAAACACAAATGCATTTTATAAATTTGTGTTTGTATAACAAGCGAGAGAGGCGAGGGAGAGAACGAGAAAGGCGAGCGAGATTTACCATAAGAGAGGCGAAATAACAACAGTTTGCTATGGGGTATAATTAAATCAAACTATGTTTATAGCATTTAATTTGAATTAATAGTTTGATATTATATACAATTTCCCCTAATATAAAAGCAAAATAAATTAAAAGGGATTAACCTGAGGCCTTGCGTTATTAGTATTATACTACTTTATTCTTTTAAATATTCGTTATATTTTTTTTTTATCTTTTCACCATTTTTTAGGATCATAAAATTTAAAAGTCTTTTTTATATTTTTTGAAATTCATGATAAATCAAAAATGGAGGTTGAACCTGGAACTGCCACATAACTACCTACAATTTTTTCTTATATTAAATGATGAACCAGTCACAGCTATAGATTCTCTAGCAAGTCTGTTATGTCCCTTATAATTCTCTGTTTGGTTTAAGAGGTGATATTTTTTAAGTTTCATGAACCGATTAGGATAATGTATTATAAACTTTATATATAACCAGTAACGTAGCAATTATTTGATGCAAATGATTGAACATTACTTAGCAGCTGTCTGTAATCAGGAATAATTTTACTGTCTTTGTGACTCTGTCCTAATTTATAGAATTTAAGGAATTAAACAGTTTAATTTCAGTACTGAATTAAGATATAAAATCTTAAATTTTTTATTGTTCATTGCTTCTACTTAAAATAAACAAGTCACACACAAAGCAAATCTAATTAATCGCAATTCACAAGGGAAGTACCTAACTTTGTCTTTTCACATCGGCCAAACATTAATAAGATCATGCAAATTAAAGAGGCAAACATATAGCTACCCTACCAAATATTATCGTACCCAATTGATGTGTTGTTTGATTGATACAAAAAATTTAAAAGATCTTTTTTTTAATAATAGAAATCATTCTCTTCTAGTTAAATAACAAAATTAGAAATTTTAAAATCAGAATATTTTTTAAATATAATAATCGATTAAAAAAACTATTTATCAATCGATTAAATAAAAATATGTCACGTAAATAAATTGGAGCTGATAAAACCAAAATTATGTCACCAGTTGCTAGGTCCATCTAAAGTGTTAGTTTAAAGTCAGACACTTGCCCTATTTTTATTTTTTTTATTTTTTTGTTTTCTTTTCAAAATCTTGGAGTTTGGCAAATCTAAATTGTGGAATAAAGTCTGTTTAGTTTTTTTTTTTCTCATGATTCAAAATCAAATACTCTAATTAAGAAAGAAACAATATTATTATCTCCTGATGAACATTTTATTAAAAATATTTGTCTCATATTACTTAATCACTTGCTAAATCAAGATAGGCTTTCCATTCTACCCCTACAATTAATAGTATTAGGAAGTTTAAACTTTAAACAAATTTTGAAGATCTAAGAATTTCTTTTTTCAAGAGGCTAACGAATATGAACAAAGGGCAAAATAGTAAAGTTGATAAATCTATTAATGATTTCTTAATTATCATGTAAAATATAAAGTGTCCATCTAATATGGGATGGAGGGGTATTCAATACACCACATTTTTATGATAGTCCATTAGTTTAGTTACTAGTTTTATATAAGTTGACCACCTTATTAAAAACACATGTCCCAAATTATTTATCCACTTACTAAATCAAATAAAATTAATAAAAACAAATCATTTTACTTCTATATAAAATAAAATTTAAAAAATATCCCCTCGTTCACTTTTATTTGTCACTGTTTGACTTGACATATCTATTAAAAAAACAATTATTGATATTGGTATTATACCAAACTATCCTTATTAAATGATATTTATTATTAAGTCTTGAAAAATGATTTGGAGAATTAGTATTTAATGCTGTGAGTAAAATATGAAAAAGTATAATTATCTTTTCTTGATATGTTAAAAGTGATAAATAAAAATGAAAATCTATTTTAAGAGTAAGTGAATGAGAGTAATTAAATACTTTGTATCTATTTTGATGATTCTATTCGTAAGCGTTATGTTGTTAAGAAATTATGCTGATATTTTTATCAATATAGATGAAGAATAAATTAATAAATCAACTATGGTGTAAATATAAAATGAATCATTTCATATGAGAGGACGGAGTATAAGTTACAAGAAACAAAGAGTGCATCCTCCAATAGGGACAGCTTTTAGTGCAATCCGTTTACCCGAACATATCGATGTTAAAATACATATATGACTTTATTATTCCAATTTAATAAAATTCCACTACATTACAAGAGCAAAACCTAGTGGCAGCCTGCAGTTTTGCGTTATGCCATAGTTTACAAGGATTTACAGTAAATCAATTGGACATATCCTACTAAAAAAATATTAAATTCATAACACTACGATTTTTTTTTTGATTAATTATAATCACTTGATTAGTTACTACTATTTGCAATGTCATTTTTTTTTTAATCATGAACCTTTTATAGATTTTTTTAAAGAAAAAATCCAAAATACACTATAATGGATGATGGAGTTTTAGAATATGTTAGTTTGCTTTAAAAAAAATCGATTTTTATGCTTGAATTTACATCAAATATTATTAATTTAACCCTCATCTGAATCAATCCCCAATGAATGTAAATCCACAAAAAATTGAACAGAGGGAGTATTATATAAGTTTTTCTTTGCAGAGTGTTTTCTTTCATTTATTGGTTAAAGAAGAAATTATCAGCCTTTTGCTTTGTCAAGGATTTAAAGATTAGTTTTTTTTAAAAAAAAATAAAAATCCAAATTATAAAAATGGAAATATGTAAAAGTATGGAGGTTCCAATCTTAGGCATAATTATCGACGAAAATGCTTATTGAGCAATTTTTTTAAAATTAAAGAGCTCGGATCGAATCAATATTGTTATCGGAGGGCTTGTGGCCTCTCTTTATTTTATTTTTTGGTAGTATATATAATAGAAGTTAGAAGAGAGAGAAATTGTAGAGTAGTGGAATTCTGAGATTTGAAATTCATGTTAGTATTAAGTTATAATAATCAGCATATACAAAGTAGAAACTCTAATCAGATAACAGTAAACATAGCAAATCTAGCTAATTTTCTTCTTTTTGTTTTTTTCTTTTTCCGTTTTAAAAATCTCTTTCCCACTATGCCTCACAAAAATATACAACAGGCTTTGAATGACGGAGAGAGCTACCAGCACTGATCTGTTTCCCAGTTCCTGGTAGTATAGCCGGTGAATCCCGACATTGCTGAAGGAGAACAGCCGCCGGAGTACAAATTGACACTCCGGCGCCTTCTGAGTAGGCGGCGGTCATAATCGGCACGTTTGTCCCGGATCCGACAAAGTAGAATAGGCAGAATGAATCTTCATGAAATCGTCCGCCGACGTGTCCTTCTGATCAATTGCCGCCACATCAGGATGGCAAACTCTAGCTAATCTCCGATAAGCTGCCTTGATCTCCTGGATCGTAGCGCCGATCGGAATCCCTAGAATCTCGTAGAAAGACGCCGGAGAAGCATGGACAAGGTTAGAAGGCAGCGTCGAGTACCTTGAAGCCGATGACGTGGTAGATTCAGTTTCGACGGAAGCACAGGTCGCCGCTGCGGCGGTCGTGAAGATACCGGACTGACGGAATCTGACGGAAGACGGTGATAGAACAGAATTGTCGCCGGAGGAAAATATATTCACCGGCGGTGGCGGAGTTTGAAGAAACGAACGAGGGGAAGTAGATAGCATGGGCATGTTTAGTTTTTTTTTTTTTGTGGAGTGTAATGAGTCAGAGAAGGCGAAGGGGCTAAAGTTATATAGAAGAATGGGATGAAGTTTTAACTGTGCTGTGGCCAAAAAGAGTAACTGAAATGTGAAAAGTTGGGGGGACCAAAAAGAAAAGTAAATAATGGAGGGGGCCAATGTGTAATTATGTGGACAAAGAAGTTATGGAAGGAAGGCTTATCCGTTTTATGTATTTGGTGAGTCAGCACTTCTGCTTATCCGATTCATCAATTCAGTGAGTTCTCAGTTTGATGTCAGTATCCACATATTAGGTTTTTGTCTCGTTTGAAGGGTTAAGATGAATTTAAAAGTATTAGAGTAAAATAAAATAAATAAATAAATACATAATATTTAATTAAATATTTTTTTAATCATATTTACTAAGTATATTTTATACTCCCTCCGTCCACAATTGTTTGGCAGGTATACTAAAAATAGATGTCCAAGATTAATTGTTAATTTAAACAATCAAGAAATAATTAGTCACTTTTTTCCAATTCTGCCCTTAATGATAATGTAGTTCAATTGAAAAGTTACGTGGACTTTTGGTATTCTTGGTATAGTAGGGTTATATTAGTCAAATTACACCTTGTACTTGGTGTGCATGACCTTACCCTGACAAATAATTGTGGACGGAGGGAGTAGTAATTATATGAGTATTATTTCTTTCTCTCTCTCCTCTCCTCTCTCTAGCTCTCTTACTCTCTCCCCTTTTTTGTTCAATGGTGATGATATTTACAGGCAATGAATGAACATCCTTGTATATTTTGACATCGAATATATAGGATGAAGTTAATATTAAATACACTTAATTGAATTTAATTTTGAATATGTTGATACATAAAATGGTGACGAGAGAAGAAGAGAGGCGATTCATATAAGAGAGATACATTTATGAGATACAGTGTATCTAGAAGTAAATACTAAAGATAATTCAAATAAAATTTATAATTATTAAAACTGTCTGCATTGAAACATTATTTTCTGTTTCTTGAAAATGTTTTGGTTTGATAGTATTTAAATTTTTTATTTTTTGCCAAACAGGGTTAAGCTTGTGACTTTGAGGGTCGTTATCGAAAATATCAAAGAAGAAAGTAACAAAGAAAAAATATATAGTGTATTAATTAAAGGAAATCTTAAAATTGGAATGGTTGTAAACCGCTGAAACGGAAGCGGGCCCACACTCTTTAGCTGACCACAAGACATCAATTATCATTTTCCACCGCCGCTCACGTCAATTAATTCATAAACATTAACGTTATTTTATTTTTTAACTCTAGTTGTGATATACTCTTATTCATCAACACTACATACTGCAATTAAGCTTTTCATCTATAATTCAAGGACAAAATGAATCATCGATTAAATGCTCTAACCAGTAATCATGGGATACACAAATCATAAAAATGCATAATTTCTCCTCAAAAACTTAATTAATACTTGATTGGAACGATGTGGTTTGAATAATTTAATAAAGACCATAATTTAATTTGACAATAAAAGGTGTGTTTTTGATCACACACATTTCAACAGTAATGCTTTCTCCGTTCAATAATAGTTGTCCACTATATTAAAAATAGTTTAGAAGATAAAGAGATAATTTACATTTTATGTCTATTTTATCCTTGCTATTAAATACTATTTATCATCTAACACATTTCTCAAATCATTAAATTTAATAAAGTCAAAGGATAAAATAGTTTTTTCGAGAAACAAAGTGAAATATTGACAGTGACAATTGGTAAATTGAACCTAACAAAAATTGTCATGGAGTAAGAAGTAATTATTTATCCTTAACCATATCACTTACCATTGATAATCTTGTGTGTCTACCTTGTATGCATGATGGGTTTAAGTTTTATGTATTATTCTTGTAAAAATATTCACGCAATTTAGTTATAAGTTACAATATTTTAATTTTTTAATAAATATTAATTGATAATTTGATTTTAAAATAATATCAATATGCTATTATAAATCAATATTTACCAATAGTATAAAGTCTTTAATTTACACTATTAATGATGATAATAATATATATAGCTTAAATCCTTGGCTTCTCAACACATGATGGTTCAGTTATTGACTTATATTGCAGCTCCCATGTGATTAACCAATAATTCATCACTTTAAGAAGATTATCTCTAAAATAATACAATACTAAGTGATGTCCCAAACGGTACGCCACTTAAGAAAATTATGTTTAAAGATAAGAGTGATCCATATCTCTATCAAACCATAGTGGACATAGACAACTACTCTTATTGTTATCTAGTGTCTGCTAATTCATAGCAAAGAGTTCTATTCTATCAATCAATTATAAAACATCTTTGAAAAAATCAAACAAGATAAATTATACCACAAATTTTAAAAAATAAAGAACAAATTTTGAAACTATCAATTATTTATGCATGCATTAATTTGTGATCACCATTTGTTTCCAGAAAACCTGTCAAAATCATCTCATGGAAAAAAATGGTTCTAGATATGGACAACACATGCAAGCACCAAAAAAAGAAGAATTAAAAGTCATACTATGCTTGCAACTATTAGCTAATTGATGATGCATCTTCCAATGAAATTGAATAGACCATTTTTGTAATATTTAAAGGACTTTTTTTTGCATACTATCGATCAACTTGGATGGAGAGTTATAAATATATTTTTTCCACTCACAAAGTAATAAAATAAATTTTAAGTGGAGTATATACCCAAACGCAATTTGAACTTCCTAATGTCATTTATTAACTTCAACTTGAAATATTTTTTCTTGCCTTTCATATATTACTCAAATTCATGTCCACTATGATAAAAATAGCTTTTAACGGTAAAAAATATGTACATTATTAAAAGTGATAATGTCTTTAACGACATTAGTTAATTGTCATTTCAATGTCGCGCTATAATCTTTAGAGACATTTACAAAGAGTGTTAATTGCTATCAAAAAATATATTTAGCAGCAATTTAACTATTACCTTTAATTAATTGCCTCTAAAGATCATTTTTGATGTGGTGTTCAAACACCCGTTTATTGATTACTTTACAAGCTTTTTTAATTTAATTTATTTTTATATTCCAGATACAATTTCATACAAAATTGTACATACATCTCAGATAACGTATGCAAGTATTAACAATGTGCAAGTATTAGCAATGTAATAAATTACTTAATAAAGTACTATATTGAATTATGTGATGATGATGTCTTCTTATACCACTAACTAAACATTTACATAATATTAACTTTATGTTACGATTATATCTTTTTGTTCAATAAACTAATAAACAATATTGTAGATTAAAAACATAAAATAATGATAAGTTAATAACCAAGGTATAGTAATAATGTGCTTTACGAGGTCCCAAGAGTCACACAACAAAGAGTTTGGTGTTTCTTGAATTACTAATGAGGGATCGTTTTCTTCTATGCTAAACTTGTGTTTCCTTAATTTGACCCCACTTCATATTGTTTCTCTATTATGGTGTCTCATTAATTCTCTTCTCTTTCATATTCGATTTATGTTCTAATTATAACCATAGACAATTACAAAGTTATTAAATTTATTTTCATAACATGACATTATCTTCTCACATTATCAAAAGTCACTTTACCAATAAGTGTCTCCTAATCTCTAAAAAGTAGTACTTTACAAGATAAATGGATAAAGTTAGAGGTATGTACCCTCCATCTTTTCAGACCCCCACTTATGAATATATTGTTGTACCTTACAGCCTAGCCCAAAACACACATGTGACATACTTTGCGTTTTCAACAAAGATGTCATATTTAAAAATAAATAAATGTGTCCCTTTAACATTTTAAATTGTTAGATGATATGATCGCACACTTCAACATAGATATTAGAGTAGGCAACTAAAGCAAAGCAGTAATAATGGGACGACAAGCTTCAAAGTTCATCAAAAACATAAATAAATTGAGTTGAAGAATTCAACAATCAGTCCCTTTAAATCAAAATCTTCAGATTTTTTATATATATTTCAATGGCAACTAATTAGGAATAAGGAGACGGAGAAAGTGTTTGTACCCTTTTTTTTCTTTATAGATATGATGATACAAAATGTAATATACTTGTTATGTTTGATAAATAAAAAAATACACATATATATATTCATTCAGTAATATAGATCGAGTCTTATTTAATAAGGAGGATTAAAAATTTGTTTTGGATATTTGTGTGAGTGGGATACCAATATTTGCATCAGTGATCCATATATAAATGAATATATATGCTCGAAACGCCCACAGACTTAGAAATTAGCTTATTGATTATAATAACATCATCATTTTATTTTAGTAATATATTCCAAAAGCATGATGGACAGTTATATAGACGTCTACTGTCCGCTGATTCACCGGCCCAAGACTATTCTTCAGTGACATTTATATTTATATATACTATAAGTATTAATCAAATGACTCAGAAACCACATATTAAGAGGGGAAGAAAAGAATATTCAATGTTTCCAGAAAATATGTCAAATCAGCTCAAGGACAAAAGGTTCTAGAATCCATGGGGACATTTTAAGGCAGAAGTAGTGTCACCAGGCAGCTTTCCTGCTCTTCTTTTTCTTAAAATTTCTTCTCTAATGTCAACAATCTTCCCCTTGTAATCCAAGAAAACCCAAAAAAAAAAAAAAAAAAAGTAACACACTATAGGCCAAATTGATGAAGCAACTTACAGTGAAAATAGACCATTTTGTAATATTTTATAACGACTTATTGTTGCCAATATGTTGAGTTACGGTGAAAGTATAAATAATAAATCACCGGCCCATTACAAAATTAATCGAAGGTCAATACCAGCTCTAATAATATGCTTTACAATATCCCAAGAGTCATTTCATAACGAATACCTCACTTAAATTTAACACTCCTTTTTTCTGTTTTCTTCGGATAAATATTCTTTCTGTTCCTAAATATTTGTTATTTTTAATAAAAAATAAATTATTCAAAATATTTGTTAAAAATCTCTATTTGTTATTAAAAGAAATTAAGACATAATTAATTATTGAATATCAATGTAATGCAAAAAAAATACTTATATCTTAAATTAATTTAGTCAAATTACTTCCTACTTATTGTTTTCTTCTAGAGCTTTCAGCCTGACATACTAAACTTGTATTTCTCTAATTTGGCCCTACATCTATCGTAAGTATCTGTTTCTTTTTTATTACTCCTTTTTTTTTTTTTCAAAATTTGATTTGAAATCTTATTGAAAAATATTCCCTGTTCAAAGAAATCGTATCTAAATACATAACTTATTTTACTATATTCTATCAAATTTCCTATCAATTGAAATTTTTTACTAAAATTTCTATTCTCTCCTATTCTTGAATACATCATTGTACACGATGCATGTATCGATCAAATACATCACTATATGCACTGTATCAGGACGTAATACATCACTTTACACGATATATCAATCGAATACATCACTATATACATAATGTATCAGGACGTATGCGTTGTATTGGGACGTTGAGTAATGTATTTGAATTCCACCTAATTTAAGAGATTTTTGTAATTTAGAAAATAGAAGAAATATGATGTAATTAGGTCTTAACACTATGAAATTTGTGTAATTTCCTTAAAAATAATATCAATCTATTCTAACATGTTATGTTCCAAATTATTTAAGAATCAATTATAAGTCAGTGTAAGAATATACTTCTTCCGTTTCAAAATACTCAAGTTTTTGAACGGTAGGGGCATTAATGTCCCAAAAATATGATGGAGAGTATCTGCATATCATTTACGATAATTTGGGGATATATTTATCTTTTTTCCCTTTTGAGAATCAAACTATACAAAATTTGACTAATTTTAAGATATATATTTTTCATCGTATTGATAGGAGAAAATTGTAATTTGCAGTACTTTTAATACAATTTTTGAATATATAAATTTTAATTTTAAAATTAATCAAATTGAAAATGAAATGTGACAAATATTTTAGGCCTAATCCATCAGTGGCCCCTTAAAGTTGGCACAATGTTTTACTTAAACACCCTAACTGAACGATGTTCATTTTAGACATCTTATGTAAGATCCCGCTGTGTCATTTTGACACCTTGTTTAATATCAACAAAAACATATAATGTGTGTGTATTACCCTGGCGAATGATGTATAAAGTGACGAATTAAACCATGACATTTGTCATTTATGTCAAAGTAATTTTTAAATAATTAATATTGAATAAAAATAAAAACTGACCAATAAACTAATGACATGAATATTTTTTCCCAAAATAATTTAAAAATAAAATAAACTCCCCAAATAATAACAAAATAAAACAAAATTTAAACTAACCCCACAACCCCAAATCACCTGCCCCCAAATCCCCACCCCATCGTCTTCTCCAACCCCCCCACCCCCAAACCCGATCGCCTTCTGCAACCACCTCGCGCTTTCTCCTCCAAATATCCGACTCCTTTTTGCAGAACGTTGTGCAACCAGTTGATATTTTTTTTTTTTGATCTTCAAATAAATCCCCGGCGCAAAGAATTTAATGAATGAGTTTATTAAATTCTTAAATTTTTTTTAAAAAAAATCCATCTTTTTTGTTGAAACCTTCATTTACAATGGGTGGATTTAACTTGAGCAAAATGGTGGCTGAAAATGGAGAAGAAGAAAAATATAATTAAAAATTAACTAAATAATCACTTCACGCGCCTATCAATGAGTGTGATAAAAAAGTGTCAAAATGACAATGTGAAATTCTATTTGAAGTGTCTAAAATGAATATCGCTCAGGAAAGGTGTCTAAGTGAAATGTTGTGTCAACTTTAAGGGTCATCGATGAATTAGGCCAATATTATAACATGGATGGGATATTATGAAAAACAAGTTCAAGGATATTTGTTATAAAGTTGAATCCTTCAGTAAAATATCATAGAGGTGCGCCATTAGCTCTTAATATCCTCACTATCTATCTCATATACTTAATATAAATATAAATAGGCAAAATGGTCTGGTAGACCTTGTATCAATTTCTATTGCGAACCCTTCTACTTATTCATTTGTCAACTAAACCCTATACTCCATAAAACATAATATATCAAACCCTCTGATCATTGACTAGTCTTATGTGGCATTAATATGATTGAGTTGGCACAAAAGCGTGGCTACACGCGTTAAAGGGGCAAGTGAAGATCAGACTTACATCAAAAAAATATTAAAATTATAAAATAATTGATTTTGTAAATGAAAAATAAAATAAAATAAATATTTTACTTCTTCTCCCCCACCACACTTCTTTTCTAGCAATCATCCCCTTTTCCCATCAACCCCACACACCATCCACGCTCCAACCTCCATTTTCCTTCTTCATACTTAATGTCATTGTCCAATTTATTCTCTCCTCTATCTATTGCTAGTGATTCCAGTGACTATTACAACTAGTTTCTAGGGGGTTTTGGGCATTATTTTGTTGTTAGTTGTACAGTTTTGAGATTCAAGATTTTATTTTTAAGACTTCCATTCTCAATGTCCCTTTTCTTAGGTTGTTGTTTTTGTGGATGTTGGAGGATGAAAGAAAAATAGTGATGGTGTGCGGCGGAGATGAAGATGGGTGAGGGAGAAAGTATATGTGATTTTGCCGGCAAAAATGGCGACGACGGTGGCGATGGCTTTCTCCGCTGGATTTTGGTCCTGAAACAGTGATAATAGGGAGAATTGGATGTATGAAATTTCACTTTAAAAAATGCCAAAATATTATTTTACATTTTATTAAATAATTTTGGTTAATAATTTTAAAAAATAGTTATGAAATAATTATGATATGACATTGATATATCTGACATGTCAATTATATAAAGGAGAGTGAGCTACACACATGATTGGAGGGACTTAAAAATCTCAATTTAATTGAGTTTAAGGGTCCAGATGACAAATGAGTAAATAGAAGAATACAAACTAATACAAGTACAAGGGTTCACCAGACCATTTCGCCATATAAATATAAATAATGATCCACTTTGATTTGCTTGAAGTTCAAGTGTTCGATAATTTATATATATTTTGGGCGAGCGTCGAAGAACAACTAGTGTTGATCAGAATAATAGTTTATTGAATTAGATATTTCGAAAATAGTTGTCGTGTGATCGTTTTAGGAAAACCAAGGTCATTTTTTTACTGGATATAAATTGTATTTGTGCTATATAATTTAACTTCGTAGTTCAGAACAAATGGCCCATTAGCTCAGTTGGTTAGAGCGTCGTGCTAATAACGCGAAGGTCGCAGGTTCGAGACCTGCATGGGCCAAATTTTTTTATTACTTCACAACATCTTCTAATTGGTTATAGGCCAAAGAATTACACATCCACTATAAGGTATCGATAGGTCAATAATATATCGAAAAGTAAAATTAGACATTGATATCTCGATTGATGTTCTTCTAGATATGATGGTATCCTCAGAGTTATATATATTGATTCTTGACAAGATAATTTGTTTTACATAATGACAAGCTGGTTGAAAAATATTGACACGCTTATAAAAAAGGTGATACCAACTGACCTATAACATTAAGTCCTGGTGATACATGTATATTTTTATCATTGATCATATAATCTATAGTGACGTTGTATTACATACATACTCAAAGGGAACCCCAGAAAAACTCACAAAGAATGTACATTTAAAACGACCAGATTATGAACATTAATTGCTGCTGGTTGTTTAGGAGAAAGCAACTTCATGCCAAATGCTTTTCTGGCAAACTCTGCAGGAGCCGGAGGGGCGCTGGCTACACAAGGCCAAATGTCTCTAATCTCATTCATTTTAGCGACAGAATTGCAGCACATGAGAACATGTAAATGAACGTGATTTTCCAACAAAATTTTCTCATGGATAACTTTCACATCTCTTAAACACTCTGACTAGATTTTCCGAGAGCCTCTGACTGTAGGACTAGTCACCATTCGTGAACTTATACTTGCAGTTCTTAGAAGCCTGCGGAATTCTGACAAGCTTATCTTTCCATCTTTGTCGATATCTGCTTCTTCTAGCAGTGGGTCTATGGAGCCTTTTAAGCCGGTATGCTGCATACAAGTAAAAGCCAGATATGAGTATTTTTAGAATTTTGGGGCTACCAACGAATCCACAGTCTCAACTCTTAGTATTTCTTTTCTACTCGTCTTTTGGTTTTATCTTTGCAGAGTTGCGGAACAGGACAGGGTTAAAATTTCTAGAAAGCTAGCATTTATATATATATATATATATACACAACAGTGTTGATCACTTGAAGAAGAAAATACGACATACTAACCATTCTAAGTTCCTCTGGAGTTATGAATCCATCTCTATCAACATCAAATTTCTCAAAAGCAGTTTGCGATCTTTGCTGCCATTTTAACAAATTATGCTCCTCTAACTGATGTACATGTAGAGTCGCTGCAACAAACTCCGGGAAATCAACAAGCCCGTCTGTGTTACTATCAATCTGAAAAATCAATGAACAAAATGCTTCAGGATTTTGAACTACAAGGAGAAAAAACTGTAGGAAATGCAGTATACATAGGCAGAAAAAAAGCATTGACAATCGTTGAGTAAACCCTCAGATTATCACATGGACTCATAAGCTGGAAATTTACAGAACTACTATGTGACATCACATTCCTTTTTTCCTTTTTGTGGATGGCTCTTTGGTGCATTTGTCCTTTTCTTTCCTTATTCCCTTTCAGAGGAGTGGGGACTAAATTGGTTGCAAACACGTTCCAGCTTGACGCCATAGAAGGTATTTCATAGTAATAACTTAATCTTACATGCCATATTATAGTGATATACTTCATTCCTAGATATATTAGCTTACCGCTTGAAGAATCTCAAGAACCCGTGATTCTTTCATCTTCCAGGGGAGATCCTTGGCAAGTGCCTGCATTAGAATTGGATGTCATAGGAGAGAATATAGTTGACAAAAATAACATTATATTACAGAATGCTTTGTTGCAAAGACAGGAATATAAGTGCTCGCGATGTTAGCCAGAAACTTAGAGAAACTGTACAGGACTAGACCATGAAATAAGGGAAATACCTGTCTCATTTCTTCAAGGCTAATAACACCATTTTTATCCACATCAATTGCAGAAAACTGGTCCCGGACATCTGCCAGCTCCTCCTCATCAAGTGTGCTAGCCAATGCCTGCCGGATAACGAAATCAACAACAACAACAACAACAACATACCCAGTAAAATCCCACTAGGTGGGGTCTGGGGAGGGTAGAGTGTACGCAGACCCTACCACTACCTCGTGGAGGTAGAGAGGCTGTTTCCGGGAGACGCCGGATAACGAAATCAACGACAACAACAACAACATACCCAGTAAAATCCCACTAGGTGGGGTCTGGGGGAGGGTAGAGTGTACGCAGACCCTACCACTACCTCGTGGAGGTAGAGAGGCTGTTTCCGGGAGACGCCGGATAACGAAATCACATGAAGTTAATGTTCTCTACTTTTTATTTTGACCTTGCATCAGATAAGTCTATGAAAGTAAGAAAGCTATGAAGTTACCCGTAATGCAAATTGTTTTAATCGACTGTATTTGACAAACTGTCGCATGTTGGACAAGACAGAAATGTCTAGTGGAATCTCAGAAGCATCACCTCCTTCACGGACCCATGGATGTGCTGAAATGTTCGTATATATCAGTTTGAAAAAACTACCATTTATTGCATCAACAATTCAAAGGTGATGAGAATACCAGTAACATCTAATTAAGTGAAAACAATGAAATAATTATATGAAAATTATTCAATATAATTATATGAAATTTAACAGAAATATGAAAGCTATTTAGGAAGAACTGATAAAATGGACATCCAACACCAAACATTGCTAATGAAGTGGCTGACTCAAAATTGACAAATTCAGTGTATGAATCTTTTGGACCTTGAGTTACTTCTCCGATAATCATTCTTGGTAATTGTAAAACCTAAACATCACTTCAAAAGATCGTACTAAATCAGAATACAATTACTTACATAGGGCCTGGGCAGCAGTAAGTCTAGCACGAGGATCTTTCACCAATAATTTCTTAACAAAATCTTTAGCACTGTTGCTTATAGTTGGCCATGGCTTGCGACGAAAATCAGGTTTGTTTCGTAGGACCTTAGCATAGCAGAAGCGGAGTTAGAAACAATACTAAATCAGCTAAAATTAAAGCACAAAGACTTTACCGAACATGACAATGAACAAGTTACACTTCTCAAAGGAATAAAATAACACATTTGAATAAGATTTTATTTAAATAAACACCAAGACAATCCTTATTCAAAGATATAGCAGTAGCTTCGATGAACTCAAAAGAGAACAAGAAAATTTCAGGTTCAAGAAATTTTAATACCGACTATGGAATGCAGACTAAGCTAATCAAGAACTAAGAATAATAAAGCACAACTATACAGGAAATTCATCATCAGTACCATATTTGGAGTAAAATTCTGAAATCTCAAATGTAAAATTGGCTAATCAGACACAGAATTATGCATTTTTTTAAAATGTATTATGCAAAGTCAATAATGATAAACATGCCACTTTGACAGAATACAAAGTTTATTTCCTAGTAGAGCTTAAAGATCATAATGCATTTCCACAAGTTTCCAAGAAAAAAATCACTATATAAAATGTTGCCCAGCTGCAGAGCTATAAAAATAAATATTAGCAGCTCACCTCCTTGAATATGCCATCCTCTGTTTTATCCCAGAAGGGCCGACGACCACAAAGCAAAATGAATGTAATTACACCAATGCTCCACACATCTGATTCAGGTCCAGATTTACGCTTTAATACCTCTGGGGCTACGTAATATGCACTTCCTACTATATCTTGGAATTTCTTCCCTGCATTTATTAATTTACAGTTATAAGTTTTTGCTATCTGAGGAAGAACCAAAAACATCTTTGACGGCTTTAACAGATTTATGAAGAATTGAAGTTCATACACCATAGCAAAAGATCTTTTTCAAATAAGAAAAATGAGTTTAAACTAAAATATGTCATTGAGTAGATTTGTGGACATCCAATCACCTGGTCTTATGAAGTCTGAAAGACCAAAATCTGTGGCCTTTAGTGGTGAGTCCTCCTTTGGAGATTTAAAGAGAAAATTCTACAAGAAAGAAATGTGTGTAAGAGAAGCAACATGAAGCAGCATTAATAAACCAAAGGAAGTACATAACTTCTTGCAAACCTCAGGTTTCATATCACGATGCACCAAACCATGTAAATGACACTGAGCGGCAACTTTCAGCATCTGACCCACAACTATTGCTGCATCTTTCTCGGTATAACGGCTGTCCTTTCTGATCAAAGGAAATCATCGATAAATTATATAAGTATTCTTCTTAACAAGAAATAAATTATAGAGCAAGCACCACAGATCACGAGATTAAGTAAACCTGGTTTATACCACTTACTTGGCCAAAATGCGGTCCAACAGTTCTCCGCCCTCGCATAACCTACAGGAAAACAAATTTCTAATCCATCAACTTCCCATCAGATAGCATAATCGATTGTTAAGCAAAGAACTAGGACCTGACGAATCCAAACAGAGCTCTTAATAACGAAACTTACTCCATTACTATGTAAACATAGTTATCATCCTCAAATGCATTATAGAAATCAACTACATTCTCGTGACCAGCTAGGGCCTTCAATATCTTGACTTCTCGTTTTACATCCTCAACTGCAATTGGAACAACCATCTGCAACGATTCACTAGAGTTATGCTATAGTTGTAATAAACTGGAACATCAAGAAGTTCAAGGTAAGGCAATTGATCATGCAATAGTACTAAAACTTAACAAGCGTCAAAAAGAGAAACTTCTGCAAGTATTCGTATTTGCATGAATAACCCCATCATTCCAGAAGGATGAACACATCTCAACTGGTGTGCAGAGATTATACGAGACAAAGCTGGAGGAACCTTTCACCAAAAGAAAAGTTTTTCTCCATAAAAGCCGATGGTGAACAAAATAGTTGCATCATGCATCAATAACCAAGACTTGTGCAGTAAGTCACAGATAAGCTATGTTGCTCGGACTCTTCAAAATGTCAACGGGTGCATGTTAGATTCTCCAAAAGTAGTGTATTTTTGGAGAATCCGACAGGGGTGCAGCATCGAAAGTGAAGAGTCCGCGCAAAGAAGTTTCCAGTGCCAATTGACTAAAAACCAGCTCTCTCTCTATAGTCTAAACCAGGTCAGGGAAGCCATTTTCCATTTAACTGTACATAATAACAACAAGCAGCACTAATCACAGAAAACTAAGGTCCAGTGCTTAGGTGTTTCTCTCGATATGTCAATGCTTAGAACCACAACCATCATTATTAACCAAACAGCTCCCATAAACCTATAGTTTTCGAGATATTTACTTATCCCATCAGTCAAGTTTGTATGTACCCACGCTCCTGTTTATTATTTTTTAGAACCTCAGGAACTATCCTTTCCAGCTGCCCCCTCCCCCCCGGCTTTGCCCTTGGGTTTGTCAACCAACCTGGCATGTTCAGACCGGGCGCCTCGATGATGGTCTCTTAAAAAGCGCAGCTTCACCGGTTAGCAATCCATTAAAAATGAACTACAACTTAAATTGGTACTTCAAAACTAGCAGAAGATAGTATTTTGTAACCACAAAAGCTATACAAATACACTGATTGAACCAAATAAACAGAGACATGAACTAAAAACAAAAAGGATAAAGCATGCGAAGCAATTCAGTAGTTTATGGATATTCTTCTGAGTCAACCGAAGTCAATCAAGACATTTAAAAATAATTCAGAAGAGATACTTGAACCTATAATTAGGATTGAACAGAAATTTTCAGAACCCTGATTCCAAATTTGGTGCACTACATAACTCCATAAGAATTTGATATAGCAGGGGATGGGGAAAGGGGAAAGGGGAAAGGGGAAAGAAGAGAACCTTTTTCTTTTCAATTCTCTTGACAGCCACGCGATTTCCATTAGACTTATCTGTGGCAACATATGTGTATCCAAATTGTCCATGACCCAACAACTTCCCAATTGTAAACTTCTTATCAAAATCTTTATCATACCCAAAATCCGTTCTTTTCCCACAAGGAATAACCCCACTTTGCCTCCTCGTATTATGCTTAACATTTTTCGTTTGTTGCTTAACCCCACCGTTATCCTTACCTTTCTGTCGATTGTAATGAGACCCCTCTTGTTTTCTTGATGTATTTGTTGTTGCAGAAACCGGTTTCGCTGAGCTCCGCCGATTACGGTGGCCATTCACGGTGGCGGTATTGGTGGTGGAAGGGGTGTTGCTGTTAGAACCACTAACTTTTGAGCTAGAAAAACATATATTGCCCATTTTGATATATGATTAAAATCCTCAAAGTTTAAAATTTTCAGATGTTTGAAAGAAAAAGAAAAAAAACCAAATAATCAAGAATCAAGATTATGGATAATATAGGGAGGAAAGAAAAGGGGCAAATTAAATAAAAGAGGAAAGATTATAGGAAATAGGAGGAGGAAGAAAGGAAGAAGGAGAGGGGAGGTGATGGACCATGGTAATGGTCAAAAAACAAACTTTTTCAATTTTTTTTTGAACAAGAAAACCATAAGCCCTCTTATTTCTTATTTTCAGTTTGGAAGAATGGAGGGAGAAAAAACTGATTATTTATAACTTCTTTCTTTTCATTTTCTATATCTAACATTTTTTTCTCTCTAATAAAAAATAAAATAATCGCCTCTCTCAGATTGAGATTTTTCTCTCACTTTTCTTTTTTAATGGAACAACAGAAAATATAAATGAGGTTTTTGGTGTTTTCTTGTGGAATTACCAGTCCCTTCCTCTCCTCAGGTACGTATTTCATACCCACGTGCAGAAATTTGGTATCAAGACTACTAGAAAAGACAAGCTGACACAAAAAAAAACGTGGTATAAATCATAAATATATAAATTTTAATTTGGCCTTAGATATCGTTTAATTTTAAATGTGCACAAATACATATCTAAATTATCATAATTTTAAATAAAAAGACATACATAGAAGAAATCACGTGATATTAATTCAAATTTTAGAGTAAAATAGTTTGGGATGTGCTCCAAACATATCAATACGTACAAAGCATTAATTTGTCAACATTCGAAAGGTTGAGCATAAGCCTAATCAATTGACAACCAGTAAAATGACATAAGCCTAATTAGTTTGATAGAAATTTAAAAAGCATTTTTCCATTGCATTCTCACTCCATGATACGAGTGCTAAAAATTTTCTATACATCCCAAACTATTTTTGACCTCAGTTTTCATTCACGTGATTCAAACAACCATTCATATATATATTTAGTATTTTAAATTTAAATCATACTACAATGGTAAGGAAAGAAAATGAACTTAAGTTACTCCCTTCGTCCTCTTTTTAATTATCGCTTTATATAGTTAAAAATAATTATTACTTTAGAAATTCAAGAATTGAAAATTAATAATTATTTTTAACTATATCACCGACATAAAAAAAAGTGTTTCCCATATCATATGTTAACTATTGCTATAGCTCAAAAAAATTATATCAAATTAAAATAATTATCACCTTAACGATACAAATTGTTTTTAGCTATTTTCTTAATATAAAAGAAATAGATTTTTTTAATATAGAAATGTTCAATTCAAAAACATTTAATAAATAAGAATAGCTTAGTGAATTATACCTTATATTCATTTCTTTTTTTTACTGGACATAAAAAGAATCTAAAGTGATCGTAAAATTGTATAGAGGGAATAGTTTAATCACCAACTTAAGATGAATTTTATTTTCTAAGGACACCAGTATACCACATATAATCCATCAGAGTCGAGGAAAAACTCATGGTGATTAAAATAAACTAAAGTTTAAGACATCATATAGATAAGCATTTTGCAGAGTACAATATTGTTAGAAAATGCCTCGCCGTCCATCAGAGGGATTAATTAAAAAAAGAAACAAAAACGTTAACAGTCATATCATATAATATTATTATTAAAATATAATTTCAAACTTAATATTATAAAGGTATAATGAGTTTAATTAATGCTAATATCTTTACAAATTTACTTCGAATTACTTAGTTGAAAAGGAGGAAGAGGGAGTCGGTGATATGCGTTTGCCTAACTAAATATTCTGTGTACTTGATTAGTTAACTAAGATCTTTTAAACAAAGACATAACTCTATATAAATTAAGGAAAACAAAAATGTCGATTGCTCAATAGTCTACGTACCGACAAGAGGAGGATAAGAGATGTAATAAGGTGATGAAATGTTAGCCATATAAATAAAGATGATTGAAGTGGTTTAACAACCACTTTTTAATTATTTGAAAGTGAAATACTATCTACAAAATAAATTAAATCCCCCCATGTTTGATCGTCAAATCCTCAAACATTTCCCAAATGTCCTCTAGGCATCCAACACGCTAAAGAATACATATATATTTTAATAGGGCTCTCGTAAGATCGAATATCCTACTAAAAAAAAAAGTCAATATCAGATTAAATTAAAAATCTTTGCAATGTGTTAACTATTAACTATGTTTAAAAAACTTGAAACTAAATGTGAACTTTTTTTTACATAATATTTTAAATTACATTGCCAGGATTAGAGAAGATTTTTGTTGCTATAAATTAAATTTATCAGTCACTAATTCTGATATTTTTAAAAGCAGTGGACAAGTAAATGCCTGAAGTGTCAATCGATATCTGTCCCAATCCTACTGGCTGATCAAAGTTGAGAGTGAATTATGCCTATGTTTGGCACAAGTATTGACCTTTCACATGTGGAGTATTTGGCAAGTACAAGTCATATCAAGAAACTTTCAAACTTGAACTATACAAGTGAGTGACTAAGTGTCTGTTTGGATTGACTTATTTTAGGTGTTTTTAAGCTAAAATAATTTTTAAACAGTTATAAAGTGTTTGGATAAAGTTAAAAAGTACTTATAAACACTTATTTTAAAGCCAAAATAACAAAAATAAGTCAAAAGTCATTAAGTTAGAAATCCTAACTTATGGCTTTTGACTTATAAGTCATAAGCCAAAAGCCAATCCAAACAGGCCCTAATTAACTTCTATATATGGTGATGAGATGACCATTCTAGTTGATACACTGGTCATAAAGATAATGAAGATTTATTCTAATTAATGGCGTCAATTGGGTTATCTAAGATTAGGATTTGGAAACTTTCCTAAAAATTCGAAACACGAAAATATCTTTGTTCAACGTGATTTTAAAATAGATTTCAACAACCAAATACATTTCTCTTTTCTAAAAAATATCAAAAACCCAACTTGTAAGGGTTAATTATGGAAGTATCTTACCCCCAAGATGTATCTCTTCAATAACATTTTCAGAATTATGTGTACTTGGTCGCGATTCGCGCGGTTATGAAAAGAATTAAAATAAAGTTACATACTAATATCAATAATACTTTAATAAAAGGAATTTTTTATTAATCACATAATTTCATAGAAGAGAAGCTATGAAAAATATTTAGGTTAAATATGAAATTCATTAAGAAATCAATATATGTGAACTTTGAAAAGTTAAATACTAAAAATAAATTTCATAGAGAAAAAAAGAGAAGGTAATATTAGAACTACTGAAATGTAAACTTGAGATGTGATCATTTTTTTCTTTTTTATTTGGGATCTTTTTTAGTATAATTTATATATATTTATGTAAACTTGAAATCTGTTCATTCTTTTCTGCTTCTTTGTAATCTTTTTAATTATATTCTTAGTATAATTTTTCGACAATGTGTAACTCGGATTGCGATTAATAGTTATTGTCCATGATTATACCGTTAGCCAACACTATTTTTAATCATTATCCACAATTACTATTACTTGTCATCGTCATCACCCAATCATCACATATTTTAATTATTTTTATTGTACAATATTAGATTAATTTAATATTTGAGTAACTTTTTAATAATTAAATTTTAAATAAAAAAAGTTTACATATTTAAATGATGAAAAATAACAATCTTAATTAGTTAGATTTCATATCTTAATATATTATTATTATATTTAGGTTCAGATATTTAATTATTTTTTGAACAACTTATATTGGGAAAACAAAAGAATTATGTAAAATTTAGAAATAAACATAAAAGAGAACAAAAGAGAGAATTAACTACGCAAAAAAGATTCAAAAAAATGACACATACAAATTCCTATTTTTTTAAATTTTTCTTGGCTTAAACACAAAAATATTAAAAAGTATATTTCACATTTTAAATAAATATTACATTTAATATAATAAATTCCCGAGAATAAAGAGTCACAATAATTAAGAGGATTAACAATGTGGCCTTGGACTTGTTTGTAACATAATAGGAGTAATATTTGTACATTATTACATTAATAAAGAACATTAATTATAGAAAATGAAAAGACAATCAAATTAGAGTTATTGAGACAAATGTTTTATTATAAGTAAATAGAAAGCAAGGAAACCAACAATATTTTTTAAATTATAAATTAATCGCAATTTTAAAATAACTTGAGAACTCCTGGAAAACAACCAATATGAAAAATATAAAGACTGCAACTTGACTTATTAATAAACAACTTGAAATCTCCTAGAAAACAAAAAAAATAGAAAAAATTTTAAAAGAATTGCAATTTTATACATTAATAAAGAGTTTGTTTTTAATAAAACAAACTGTATTTTCAAAATTATAAAATTAACTTTAACATTCTCATGTTCTATCATTTTTGTTATTAAAATTTGCTCCATTCGGACTATGGAAGTATATGTACGTATTTCTTTAAGTAGCATATCGATATTCATTTAGTCATTTCCTGCTTATATGTTTTAAAATATTATACCCCACAAACACAATAAATTAATATTATCAACAAAAAGTGAGATGAATTTACCTGAACAAATAATCTTTTTGAAGAGTGTTATCATTATAATATAATCAAATTATCTAAGAATTACATAGAGGTCTAAAGAAAATAAATTAAATATTTTTTTAAAAAAAAAAACTTAGGATTTATATCTTCACAAACACAAACAAATAATATTAAATGTATGATTTCAACAAAGAAAGAGTTGCAATTATATTAGACATATCAAATTATTTTACCTTGTAAAATCAAATTATGCAAGAATGTCTAACAATTTTCATTATAGATATATCTCCTATAATCTGCAAAATATGATTAAATAAGTTAAAAAATTATCTAGCAAAAGAAGAAAAGGATAAAGAATAAGGAGAAAATTGCATTTAATCATAAATCCTCCTACACCTATAATCATTTTTAACAAAACATAAATAATTCAAAAGGAAATAATATAATAGAAACATTACTTCTTAATCCCCTGAAAATAAAATAAAGAATAATCCATATATATAGCTCAAAATCCATTAATCTCCATCTCTAGATGATTTCATTTCGTCCTATATACAAGAGTCAAGAAAAATAATAACAAATAGATTATTAGTCCTAAATTGAATCTCAAAGACAACAAAACAAAATAATTTATCTAGAAGAAACAAAATTATGCTTTGACATATTAGTCTTACTTGCTAATTAAAAGTAATATATGAAATCATATTTGAAAAAGATAATGCACCTCAAACCTTACAAATATTGTAATATGTCTGCCACTAATTCTCTAACCAAAGATGACTACAAATAACACACTAATTTTAGTGTGATTTTATAGTGTTAATATAACCTTCCACATTAAATAATTAGAGGTTATAAATATGAAAGGTTTGAGAGGTTATGAATATGAAAGGTTTGGGAGTTATGAATATTATTAATACTAATTTAAGAATAGAATTTATATAATTGAAGAGGTATAAGTTAAGAAGATGATTTTGCAAGAAAAAAATAATTGAAAGAAATAAGAAAAAATGTCAAGAAAAAGAGAAAAAAAATAAAATAGAATGGAGGCCATAGAGAGGTGCCACATCACCTTCTCTATGTTCCTCATTTATATATATAGAGATTTATTTAGATTTCTTGAGTTCAAATCCTGCCAATTAAAAAAAAAATCGGATAGTAGACTTTTTTTTAATTAAGTATTACACAATGTAAAATCACATTAATGAAGGCTTTAATTCAAGTACCAAACCTATTAAAAGTATCTTTGGACGGAACTTATTAGAAGATCAGTAATTAAAACTGGCTGCTCTATAAATATTTTTAGAATTAAATATAGAATTTGTGTAAAAAATAATATTAAAAACGTGTGAACTTAATTAGAATTTTCGAATTGATAATTTCTACGTGTGAACAAATTAAAGTATTAAAAAAGACATGAATTTGGAGTATCAATGGAATTGACTTGAGACAACAAGGATTAAACAAAGTATTAGGTCCTAGTAACAAACAAATAATTTTAGAAAATTTAGTAGAATGAACTACTTGTACGTGATAGAACAATTAAACAAATCGAGTTTTAAAGAGTATCTTCTCACTACTCTCAATAAGTTCACACTTGGAAAAAATGTAAAATTGCAGAAATTAGCACTTTTATCGGAATATTCCAAGGCTTTTGGTTTCTTATTTGGCTGTATTCCTCAAAATTCAAAGTTAACCAAAGAGAATGGCAAAACAAACTATATATGAGTAGTAGACTTGACTTGACTTGACTACATACACACTTGCCCTTTTATTTTCATGTTTATCGTTTAAATGATAAACAATGTTTTCCTCGCCTGTTACTTGGTTTTGATGTACTTGAGCTGAGGGTCTCTCGAAAACAGCCTCTCTACCTTTACGAGGTAGTGGCAGGGTCTGCGTACACTCCACCCTCCCCAGACCCCACCTAGTGGGATTTCACTGGGTATGTTGTTGTTGTTGTTATCGTTTAAATGATAATATATATAATATTTTCTTTGAGAGCTGTGAATTCAAGCAGATACGTCTTTTGCTTTAAAGTATTTTTAGAATAAAATTTAAATAATTATTTCATTAATTCTATTTAAATTTATTTAGTGTATAATTTTTCTGAAATTGTGAAAATCGTTTTAGCTATGACCTTTAGTTTTAAATTCATATCCTTTAGTTATAACTTTATTATTTAAAATGTCAATAATATTTGTGTAAGTATTATAATTGTTTTGCATAAAAAACCAATTGTCGATGAAGAACAATATTTAATTATGGACATCTTGATAAGTCTCTTCGCATTATTTACTATCATACAAATATATATTATAATTTATTTTAGAGCAAAAATTTAAAATTATTTAATCAATATCGCTTAAAATTTATCAATATTAATAACATCTATCAAGTATTTATTTTACACTTCATGAAATACTGTAATATCATTTATCACCATTTTAAATACTAGGCCCGTGCACGGCATGGATATTTCATAACTAGTAATAAATACACATAAAAGAGGATGAAAGTAAAATGTTACATTTTAGTGTCACCTTTAGAAACGCAAAAGAAGACCAAATCTTTGTAGTTTTTTGCGTTTTCGTTTAAACAACGACGCGTTATTTGTTTTTGACCATCACAATAGGAAACGGCAGAATTTGTACACTTTATGCTCCAAAAATTAATTAAAATATATAGTTTTCTATAGTTTCAACTTTTACAAATTAAAAAGAAAATTAAAGAAGGTATATATGAATAACAATTTAATAGTTTATTATTCATATATATAGGTTACGGAAATGTAACTATTAAAAAAAACACTATTTCTCCATTGAAACTTTCTACTAAAATGTTCAGTAGTGCTTTTTCCACATATCTTTGATTGAATTAATGCAAAAGAAAAGAGAGGAGTTTTTCACACGAAAAATAATAAGTATTTTTTTGTTTTCGTACCATATGTTTCTCAATGATCCGTTGTTCCGATAGAAAAATCACGCTTTATAACACATTAATTTGATCAGAAATTTAAAAAGTCTATAGTATTCTTTTTATTTTAAAATAAACTGGTCTTTTTTTCATTTTTTAATTAAAAAGTATTAAGGTTAAAAGGGTAAAAATGTTCAAGAAGGTAAAATAACATAGTGTGAAATATGTTATTTTACCATTCTGGACAATTTTTTTTGCCAAAAGAATTTTTCCCATTAATTTGCAGCGGCAAAAAACTTTTATTTCTAGTGACGCTTTGATCTTATTGAAGGTTGGGACTTGTTATTAATTAAATTGGGTCCACTCTAATTAGACATGTTTAATGTACCAAATCTCTTTGTCCGTTTTCACACTCCTTTATTTAATTTCCATTTCACACAGCAAAAGAGTGAGATCAGTTTATCGTTATATGAGTTGGAATGTTGGATAGTGCAAATAATGCAATTCTCCATTTGTAGTCTTAAAATAACATAAACCACTTATAATTATAACAAATAATGCAACCTAATAATACAACTTATGAATTCTTCTTTTTTTAAAAGAAGGAGTGGGGATCAGAGAGTCTCGAAAATAATCTTTCTACTTTTTTTTTTTGCCGGAGTTGTTCGACAATTTTTCATGCCTTGCACGCAGTACGCACCCATTGGCCACATTATATTTCAACTGTAGTCGCACATAAGCTGCTGCCTTTTTGTGGAGCCTCTTTTCCTTTTTTTTTTTGTTTTCTTGGTGGGGGTGGGTTATATGTACCCAAATATGAAAGCAAGGTACATAATTGAGTGTTAAAAAATAAAGAAACGTGCCCCATTACGTCCAAATATTGGGGTGTTGTACGTCGGTGTTTGAAAGGCAAGGAGCCACTTACTAGTTCACTCCTAGAGTATATAAACTAGATGACAAAAATTGTTAAATGATTCTTTTGCTTCTATCTATAATCGATGGTGTGTATAGATTTGTTTCGTTTCTTTACCGTGAATAGTTGAGATATACATTAAGTCACCCATACACTACTTTCTCCATCTCAAATACTTGTGGTATTTTTCATTTACATACCCTTTAAGAAAACATTAATTAGGAGGGGTGCATGTATAATGTTTATTTTATTTACTTATTAGAATATGTTATAATTGAGATATATATTGTACTCTTGAAGAACCTTTACTAAGGGTAAAATGGAACTAAAAAAATACTTCAATTATCTCTTGAACTTCTAAAATGAGAAGAATTTTGAGATATACATGTATTTTTAGTAAGGACGATAAGTATTTTGAGATGGAGAAAATACTGTGAAAATTAATAAAAAATAAAGAAATAAACGAGAAATATGGATTGATTAGGTTTCGAAAGCAGGACAGCAAAGGACAATTGTGTTTCTTGCAAGAAAGGTTCACGCGTCTAAAAGCTACAACTTTGAATGTATTAATGTTCTTTTTAGAGATTACTAACAGATTTCTGTTGTAAACTAGCTGGCATATATACTGATTCACGAATAATATAAACATTTTTTATGTAAATTAACTGGTTATGCATGATACTTTTCATTAAATTAATTTCAAATTTATAACGCTTATTATTATGTAATTATCTTTTTAAATGACCAATATTTTCCACAACATCAATTTTTTTAAACTCTTTTCTTGTCAATTACAAAGTGGTAGTAGCTCATACTTATACGTCAAGAAATAAAACAAATCTTTTTTTTTTCTTGTTAGTTAATTGAGAAAGAAAAATACTTCACTCCATTTTCTTCCTGGATTTTAAAATTTATTTTTTTACAATACCGTATAAAGTGGTTTTCTAAGTTTAAGAAAACGTGATGCAACCGGCTATTAATAAAAGAAGGAAGGGACAACATATTTGATCTTTGTTTATTAATCACACGGAAGAACAAATGGAAGTGAACTCTTGTGACACGACTTTTTCACATGTTAAGAAAATAAATAAATAAAAGCAATTCTAAACTCGGAAAATTGGGCTAAAAGAAAGAAGCATGTAAGTGAGCAACTGGGCTGTAAACTTGGGCTAATCATATATATAGTATCTTCTTTTGTAGGAAATGGCGCCATGTATCATCTAAAAGACTTAATTTGTTTTGTAATACTACTAGCATTAAATACATTATTGAGTTTCTTTTGGCAAAAATTGATACCACTTGTTGTGTCTGAGTATCCCTAATGTTGCAACAAGCACTACTACAATTGGAGCTAAAATTCTTTTCAACTACAATTGAAGCTAATTTTAGTTTATTGGCAAAACAAAATTGAGAAAGCAAAACTACTGAAAAAACAATTAAATCGTAGTAGAAGTGATGGTAGCACGCGAATAATAAAATTATTGGACTATTATAAAAATATTCACAAGAACATGATTTATTGTTATTCAAGACAATACTGATAAAAGAAATTACACGCGTAGCCTCTTGTTTCAAGATCCAATATTGTAAGTGTTAAAATTGTAAAACTTAAGCAAGAATTTCCTCAATGGGCTTGGACTCCAACTTGGCCTCTTCAGTCTGTTCCTTGGCCAGTTTCTTGAGCCTAGCAAGCTCAAGATCCTTACTCATTTTCCTCCTGTACATTTCTGCAAATGTAATCGGCTCATCCATTATTGCCTTCTCTCCTTCCCTAATTTTTAACGGATACACTTTTGCATCCGGTGCTGGATTCTGAAAAGTGGCTATCGATAATCTGCTGCTATTCGAATTCACAACTGCTTGATGATCAGCATTCTTGAACCTCCCATTGCTCAAATACTGTCCAAAATTCACATAATTAAGTGTCAATTAGAAAACATAATTTTATGGGAATATGTAGTAGTACCAACTTACATGACCATGATCACCAAGATTAACAACAAAAGCGCCTTCAACGGGCTGAACAGTGATCCAAGTTTTGCCATTATCTTTAGTGGCTTGAAGCCCACCAACTTGGTCTTGTAACAAGAGGGTGATGGTTCCTGGATCAGTATGTCGTTTCAGCCCAAGGGTAAGGTCAGGCTCTGGACACTTTGGGTAAAAATTGACAACTACTTTTTGGTCCATATCCACACATGCCTTGGTTAAAGCCTCTTTCTCTAAGCCCATTGCCTCTGACAGTACTTCTAATAATTTGCAAGCTAAGTCCATTAATTTTTCACTGTATTTCTCAGTTACAGCTTTCCAGCCTTGTGGTTTGTCTGGCCATCTAGAGTAGTCTCTAGCTCGAATTGGGTATGAAAAGTAGGTCACTATTTCACGCCAGTCTTGAACCACTTCACCCTATACAAAACAACTTTCTTTAACAATTTAAATCTCTTCCCATTCCATTCCATAGTAATATAGTATTTGGATAGATTGTTATATCGTTATATAATGTTACACATCCATCACAAAGAAAAAATAGGGTACGAAGAGCTACTAATAAAAAAAACAGTGTAAAAAATAACATAGAATAACTAAATAATAAATAAAGACAAAATGAGGCTCTTAAGCCTCAACACTTTATTTTTTTTAAAAATAAAGACAAAATTAGATGAACATATTAAGATAATGACATGACCATACCAAAATGTCATTAAAGAAAATAAAATTTTTCATCTAAATAATGCAATACTGTAAAATTTTAAATAACAATTAAAAAAACATTATAATTTAACTACGGATAACTCGGGGGGGAAATGGGATCTGTTACAAACACTTTTTACTTTTTAGTATATCTTTTCTATATTTAGAAATTAATCACTAACTTCTTAATTTATTTCTAAATGATGACATGCACCTTATTAGTAAAAAATAATACTAATAAATTGTCGTGACATGCATATCTCTATCTAAAAATACGTGTGAAATAATTGTTACCTGTAAATGGCTTGAGACAATAAAGCCGCCTTTCTTGCCACCAGACATGTCAAACCGAAGCTTTTCGTCAGGAGGCAATTCGAAAAATTCCTTTGCCAATTTTGTCATTTCTGATATTAATTGAGCATCGACCCCATGATCAGTTACCTGAAAAACACCCCAATCTTCACAAGCATTTACAATTTTCTCACATATTTCACTTCTTCGACTTCCATTAATATCATCAATACCTTGCAACGATATTACTGGAATTTCGTCACTAAATTTATTGTAAGCCACTTTTGGACGTTCTTCTTCATCCCTAATAAAACTTGTTTGAAGGGTCTTTTCATTAGCTAGAGCTGTTAGTGTTGAAGGTGCCATTTTTTTTTTTTGTTCAAAAGAGTTATGAGGTGCCTTTTTAATGTTGAGAGTAAGGTGAAATAAGGGGTGGAGATTTATAAGGGAGTGTTGGCGTGGAGCTATTACTACCCTTCGTGCCAACTAACAACAATTCACGTGTTTTCTTTCTAGAATTGTATTTTGCTTACGAGTTGAAGGGTAGATACCACCATACTTCGGGGAAAAAAAATGAAAAGACGTTGAACGTCGATTTAATTTATATGATATTGTTTGATTTGATTTTCTTTTTAAAAAAATTAAAGTTTATTATTTAGAGTTAAGTTTAAATATTTATTTAGCTATTAATTACTTCATTTGTTTCATAAAGAATGGTCTAGTTTGACTTGACACGAAGTTTAAGAAAATTAAAGAAAACTTTTGAATCTTGTGGTCCTAAATTAAAGTTATGTCAATCGTACAAAATTAGTTTTTAATCTTGTGGCCTTAAACATGTCATGTGAAAGCTGAAATTAAAATGTTACCAAAAAAAAGAAAGAGGTCATCTTTTTGAAACAGACTAAAAAGGAAAGGAGGTCATTCTTTTTTAAATGGAGGGGTATCTTATTAAAAGTATTTGTTTTAATTCTCTTAAAATAGATTAAAATGTAAAGTGTAACACTAAAAATGAATATTGTTTAACTTCTAAAAAGGTATTAATACTTTTGTATGTATTCTGTATTATATTGCTCTTCCGTACCATCTTATATGATATATGAATTAATTTAACTTGACATGGAGTTTAAGAAAGAAGGAAAAACTTTTGAAACTTTGTGGTGTAAAATAGGTGATAGATATTTGTGTGGTTTTAAATCATTTTCATTATGAATAAAATAGACATTTTAAGATAAAATTTTATTTAATATAAAAATATGTCATTTTGTTGGAATGGACCAAAAAAGAAAATTTAGTAGGAGTACTAGTTACGATTTTAGGGGAAAAGTGTGGTTGCTTTGTTGAAAAGTAGTTACTACTAAAGTATTTTGCTTTTTAAGAAAAACAAACGCAACCAAAGAGCTGTTTTTCCAATATAATAATTAGAGTTGTCAATATGAGCTAGATCCGTTAGATTAGTCTGGTCTAATCCGTGATTTGATAGGGCTGGGCTATGATTTTTGGAGCCTATTTAAGAAAATGGTTTTTTAGCCCGGCCTGAATAAGTTTGCCGATTTGTGGGGCTTGACAAATATGGATAGGACCGGCCCGTGGGTCAAATAAAAATTAATTAAAAAATAAAAATAAAATAGAGTATTAAAAATAACAAGAGCATAAACTCAATATATGTTTAAAGTTTGAAATATTACAATTTAAATACAAATTTTGTTTATAAAATATATACTACATAAAATAAAAATTTCCTAAAATTTCTAGGAAAAAACTACATAGGTCATAGTTTATGAAATATTGTCATAATTTTTGTATTTTATTATGATTATTGAAAAACAATTAGGTTAATATTTCTATTTAACTATTTATGTTTTTACTTGAAATCAAACTTAACAAATATTATAAAGATAATTTTATTTGTGTATTTGATTAACAAATAGTAACACTAACACCATGTAATATTGTCTTGTCGATATTTATGATAATATTTTTAAATTATAATTTAATTAAAAAATTATAAAAAATATACTTTTAAGAAAAGAGGGTTGGCCTAGAAAAGTCCGTAGCCCACGTACTTGTGGACTGGGTCAACCATTTTCAGGCCCACACAAAAAATGAGTTAGCCCGGCCTAGCCCGTCAAATTTCAAAGTCAGTATGAATTAACCCGAATGAAGTGGGCCAACCCATATTGACAGCTCTAATAACAATGTTACCAACAATCGCTAATAATATTTTCTTTAAAAGTTTAAATCACACAATAATTGCTAATAAGAAAAATTCACCTTTTCAACTATTAATCGCATGTGGGTTTATTAACAAACGGAGGGTGCATGCAATTGAATGTTGGTTAGGACAAATCACGTGGCTGGTACCAACCAGCGTTGCCTAGCTAAAAAAAAAACATGTCAATACTTAATCATCTTGTGTTAAATTTCTGTTATTTATTACTCCTCTCTTAAATTAATTAAATGTCGTTGCTACTTGCTAGTTGCTTCTTATAGATTTATCCTAAAATTGAGTCAGAGGTAAAAAGGGTCCAACGTATCCTTTAAATATATGAAATACATTATCCTTTCATTAATAGTTGGGATCAAATATGTTCATATTTTTATTCTAATTTTACCCTTATTTTTAAATGATAAAGTTTAATATCAATAATGTTACATATCCCTCAATTAAAGATTATTATTTTTGAAACGGAAGATAAATTTGTACTGGCCTTTTGCATAGTTCATAAGCAAATATAACAAATATGACCTTTTTTTCCAACATAATTTTGAGTTTCAAATTTTCTTTATTACTCCTTTATCTTTCTTCATGTAGACATTGAAATTTATTAGAAATCTACCAGACGCACTCAATTCTAATTGAAACTCTATAAGATGTATTTGATTTCAGTTAGAGATTTTGAAGGCTACTCTACCCTATCCCCAACTCATGCCTATATAAAGGTAATATATATTCCCTTGAAAAGGCAAGGCCTCCAAAAACAATTTAACAAAATTAGTAAAACGAAGATTGTGCTAAAATTAGTCGGGCAGTAAAACTTGTGAAAACATACTTTATTATATGGACATTTTTAATGTGTAATAAGTAGGGTACTTTTGCACAAATTGCTTAAATGATGCTATTTCTGCAAGTCCAGTTTTTTTTATTCCAGATAGGGATCTTCTAAGGATTTGGCTCATGGGCCTTCCCAACTTTGATTTGTCATTACTAATAGTAGTAAGTAAAGGAAAGTTACGTAAATGTATTCTTTGGCCATCTAGTTTATCAATATGGTCGAAGTATACATTATTGGTACACGTTTGTTGTATACTTAGTGTATATATGTATATTGTATACATTTAATATAAACTATATACATTATCTATACATTGTGTATATATTTTGTAAACTAGATTTCTGAATGATATTTTATTGTAATTTTTCCCTAAGTTAAATAGATTAGTCTGTTGTCATATTGTTAAAGAATGACAAAAGTCTCACATCGGTGGTTAATGAGATGAGTGGACTCCTTATAAGGCTTGGACAATCCTCCTCCCTTTGAGCTAGCTTTTGGGGTGTGAGTTAGGCCCAAGACCTAATTTAACACATATAAATCAAGAATTTAAGTTATAATATCACATAAATATTTTTTGCATTGATTATATCACAAGAAGAGATAAGAAATTGTGTATTTTTGTTGAGTTTTTGGTTTTCGAAAATAGAATAGCAAAACGACTTATGATATATAATAAACCAAAAAAGTTTGATCATATAAAACTTCCGGTGGATTATTAATTGATAGTCCTTACAGCAGGTTCCGTATATAAAAAATTTATGAAAATATAAATAAACGGGTGTCGGACAAGTTGCCAGCTAATAGTAAAAAATAACAATTCAAATAAGGACTGATCATATCGCAAATTTAAGTTTTAAATTTCATAAAAGTGAATAAACTTGTACTCATTCTACGAAAATTACGAGCTTCCCTTGATAATTTAGTGCAACTTGTAAATTTTTATGTGTATTTAATCTTAGTTTGGAGTATCAAATCTTATTAATGGTCTAAGGTTGATGCTTTTTCTAAGATTAACTAATATTTTAATGAAACTCTATTTTCGAAATACTAGTGCACTGTGAAGTTAGGCTGGCAGTGTGACTTTCTGAGCATTTTCCCACTTCTTGCCAGGCCCAACACCATCACTTAGACAAGTAGGCACGTTCCCCCGATGCCGAGGTTAATACTAACTTAACTACTGTATCTCAAATTAAATTACATTATCTGTGTATCATATTAACCCAAATTCAAAGTTCACACCCCATGAACCAGAGGCTTGATCCCGCGAGCATCGAAATGGGGTTCCTTCTTTGTCACTGAACCAACAACTGTTAAATTAGGTCTTAGGCCTAACTCACACCCTAAAAGCTAGCTCAAAGGGAGGAGGATTGTCCAAACCTTATAAGGAGTTCACCCATCTCATTAATCACCGATGTGGGACTTTTGTCATTCTTTTAACACCCCACCTCACGCCCAGTGCTTAGCATCTGGTGCGTGGGCAATTTTGATTTTGGGGGCCCCAACATGGGGTGAGACGGACCCTGCTCTGATACCATGTTAAATTAGGTCTTAGGCCTAATTCACACCCCAAAAGCTAGCTCAAAGGAAGGAGGATTGCCCAAGCCTTATAAGGAGTCCACCCATCTTATTAACCACCGATGTTGGACTTTTGTCATTCTTTAAAACAACAACTCTTTCTCAATATAAATGCAGGATTTAGGCAATTGCAAAATTTACGGGAATTTCAATAACCCCACTCGATATCGTAATCCGCCCCTGCCCTGAACAACCTACCCAAAAAAAAACAGGAGCAATTGAAGTTAACGGTAAAGGCAGAACGAATTAGTATTGGTCTAGAGTCTAGACCTTGTTTTGTGTTAAAAAATTTAATTAACATGTAGCCTTTAAGGAGTATATGAATAACTCAAATAAACAAAAGAAAATTGTGTGCACTAGAATCAATAAACTTAAAATCCTAAATCTAACCACGGTCAAAAGGGGGGTTTATTTTCTTGTGCTATAAATTCTAATGCAACACTCTTATTTCTTAAGAGCTAGCTCTCTGCTTTCTCCGTCATATATACACCATTTTGCCTTTTTTGTTTCTGAAAGAATGTCATTCCAAAAGGCATTTGCTGCTATGCTTATTGCATCCTTTCTGCTCGTCCATTTCGCTTATGCCCAAAAGGTTTTTCATTTTTAAGTGGAATGTTCATTATCACAATAAGTAGTCGATTACTACAGTGCCTCACACACTAATTTTTCCAAAGACCATATCACTCGCATCATGTTTTAACTCTTTAATTCATGTTTGTTGGCGCAGGTTGACTACAGCAAGCCACCAGCATCAGCCCCTCAAGGTCCACAGCCACTAGGTAATCTATCATTATTTTATATTTGTATAGAAACATGTACTAATAAATAAAGTTGTGTTGGAAATGATTGTACAGATTGCATAGGAGCTTGTAAATATCGGTGCAGTGAGTCGTCTAGGCAAAATCTATGCAACAGAGCATGTGGAAGCTGCTGCCAGAGATGTCACTGCGTGCCACCAGGGACTTCTGGAAATTATGAAGCATGCCCTTGCTATTTCAATCTTTTGACTCATAACACCACCCGCAAATGTCCTTAATACATCCCTTTTTAAATTTGTTCTCCAAACGGAGTCAGTTCCCAATAATTTTGTTCATTTTGAAATTCAATTCATTGCTCCTTCTGTACGAAGCTTGTGATGCAATAAAAGATGATTTTTTCTAGCAAGTAGCCTGGTCTTTTAATAATCTGGCTCACTGTGTAGGGAATTACATGCCTGCAAAAAGGAGCACACTACTTCCATTCTTTAGACTGTTGAAAGTATGTAGTGCTATATATACTGAGGTGAAAATATGGAGTGCTATATATAATATATACTAAGGTGAAAATATGTGTCCGGAGCTAAAAGGGCAAATAAATTGAGTAAAATTTTCGGAAGGGCAACAAAAATTGAGGATCAAACCAAAAGAACAATAGTTGGATAGAAGGATGGATGCGGTTAAACCGTAGGTTAAAGGCTCATGTCAGAATGAGCCTTACAAGACTCATGTTACAACATTAAAAAAAAAACAGCGCACTTTTAAAAAAATATTCATATTTCTTTTTCATTATTTATTCAATCATTTTATTGTCTTGAAAATATGGAGTGCTATATCTTTTGATGTTTTTACTATTAGCATTTCTTACATATTCTCCAAATAATTTTTCAAGATCGATCTAAGACTATACATCAATTAAATGGGTATTATAGTAAAATATTCATATCAATCTTTATTTCTTAAAAAGCATGTAAAGTCTAAAGGGGACAAGTAAAAATGAAATGAGGGGTATATGTGCTCTTATCCTTACTATTTTTTTTAAGGAATTCTACTGTCAACATACTTACTTAGGGCCCGTTTGACCATGCGATATGATATTATCATAATATGGAATTATGAGATGAAATTGAGGTTTTGTTTGGACATGCGCTATGAATTTTTTGTGTTGTATATTTTCTTATAAGCATAAGAATCCCATAAGTTGTAAAACTATTAAAATAGCCCCAATTTTATTCAATATTATCAAATAAACAAAAATTTATAAAATCGCATAATAAATTACTACAAAGCTATTTGTTCTCTACTTAAGTAATTATTTCATCTAACTTTAATTCAATAAAAAAATTGAACATAAATTGTAGTGTACTAGTTTTTAATTTAATATAATCCTCCCACATAGTATGAACAATTTCCTCACATCGAACTTGCATTTCTCGATCATGTGACCGAGAAGACGAACCAACATTGTTACTTTGAGTTGTAACAAATACAATACTGTAGAAGTAATAAATTAGGTGTTGGAGTAAATGAAGAGAACAAATTTATTACTGAACAATCGGTTGGTGTGAGTTAAAGAGACTATATATTGATGAGAATAATAAATTTTAAAAAGTAATGATGTGATTATAAATTTTATTTACATATGAAATAAATGGTTAATAGATATAAATGTAAGGTTGTTTTAACAAAATATAAACTTGTGGATCAATTTTGTATTAAAAATATCTCAAATCATGATATGGAATTCCCATATCATGGTTTTTGGAGAATATAGAATCACATCTCATGATATGGAATCATGAGATAGAATCAGCGTAAAATTGCATGTCCAAACGCTGATTCCATCTCATGATTCCATATCGTGATATGATATCGCATGGCCAAACGCCTACTTAGACAATTATATTAGGAAATTAGTTGGACCCTGCAGTCATGGATGACGAATAGTTGGCATCGTTAATGGGTAAAATTTCTCATTACATATATCCCCAATACCTCTGTATTAGTTTGTGTGTTGCATGTTACCCACTGTTAATTATACTCAAATATACTTAAAATTCACAAAAGGTTGCATATATTGGTAAACCTGCAGCTTTCATATCTAAAGGTTGTCTATCTATCTTATACTAGCCTTGGTACATAATTTAAGTAAGTAACTTTTTAATTTTTTTTTTTTTTTAAAAACTTAACCTAAAACAAAAATTTCATGTAAAAAGAATTGCTTAAATTGATGGAGTGACTTTGTAGGTGAAATATCAATAATTGAATAACTATTTATTAGTTGAATGACCATCTCGATAAATAATTTGTCTTTATCCAAGTAAAGATAAAAAGAATTAGCGGTAAATTTAGAAAATTATTTTCCAAAAACATGCATAATGAAGTGGACAAGTGCCAGCTACATATATATGACCATTTGAACTAAAGAGAGATGCTGTCTAAGCAGTCCAGCTGTGCACCATTTAGTATACTTATCATTTTTTAATAGTGCAAACTCTTTTAATAAACAAATTTTAACAGTTTATTTTAACATTTAATCTAGTAATTTATGTTTTAAGGTACAAGTTTCATTTTTTATATGACTTAATAGTATGGGAAAATATTCTCTTAGCAAATTAATCGATATCAAACACATCTAACTTTTCTGCTGTTTCTTATAAATATATATATCCTCCAATCCCGATCAACTTTAGTCATAATTTTTGTTGTAGTGAAGAAATTCTTGTTTTACTTTTCTATCGTGACTAAAATCTTATCGATATAGCAAGAGTACATTATTTTGACCTTTCAACTAGGATAGAGTCAAAGAGGTAGTCCTAAATCATTTTTATATCATGATTGGCCGCTTTTCAAGATTAAAAGTGTTTCTGTTACCTTTTTTTTTAAAAAAAATCAAGATGTTTGATCAAGCTTTTAGGAAACAAAACGTATTTTTGAGAACAAATAACTTTCCTCAAAAGTATTTTTTTGAAAATCACATTCTAGAAAATACACTTAGAAATATATTTTAAAAATTTAGTCAAACATTAATTGTTGCTCATTAGTACTTTTCAAATTGATTATCCAAATACAAATTATTTTTTATCAAAGTTTTTTTCTTAAAAATATCTTTCAATGTTTCATCAAGCCACTTTTGTCAAATTTCATTGACACAATTATTTATGGACCTTTTTTTTTTTTTTTATCATGGTTCTATTTTTAAAGTAATAAATCAATATTAAAGATAACGGATATTAAGAAATGAAAATAGAAAATTTTAATTATAATTAGTTGAAATTAATTTTATATGTCCTGGAGTATGAAAATTGAAAGGTCTTCTAAGAGGACAATATATTGAAACTGACAAATAGAAAAATAAGATATTCAATTTGGGTAGAAATGTAGCAAATATTAGTATTTGTTTCCAGATCTATAATTTACGTGTCCAAATGAATAAACCAATATGAGGCAAGTTTCCACTAAATAGTGAAAACAATAATTCAAGTTATAAGGACCAATCAAAATCATAAAATTTATAAACATGAATAAATAATGTTTTTCAAAACCACAGCTTTCCCATTATTTAATGCAACTTGGGAGAATCTCTAATAAATTATGTGCTTGTAATCTATGTTGTTGTAGCAAATCTTGCTATTTTAATGCTATGTTTTTGGTATATAAAAAAACACTTTTTAGAATTTTTATTTTATTTTTTCATGATCGACTTAAATATTTTATAAATAGACTTATATTTTTCTTAAATTTAAAGAAAATGACTTTCTTCCATAAAGTAAGAAAAAACATTCTCCAAAATTCTCTTTCAATCTCACTGTATGAATCCCAACCCCGCCCAAATTCAGCGTCCCTGTCCAAACTCGAATTAGAATCCGGGTCAAAAGTCAGGTCTTAGGTCTAGAGTCTCAGGTAAAAAATTGAGTCAAATTAGGGTCAAAGTCGTGAATCGAGATCGAGTTAGGGGTCAGGGTTCGGAGCTTCGAGTAGGTACAATGTCAAAATATTTGCCCAGATTATATTTAATGCTCTTGAAAAAATATTTTCATTCTTACAAGTCCTGTAACATGAAAGCCTGCATTACTTTTAGTTATTGAATTCTTTTTTGGTAAAACAATCATCTACATAAAATTATTTTTAATATAACAAAAAACTAGTGTGATTTTTCTTTTAAATTTGGCCTAGCTCTTTTTTCTAGAATAGTGATGCGAAGCTAGGCTGGCAGTGAGAGTTTCGAAGCTACTTCCCATTTCTTGTCATCATCATCACTAACACAAGTTGATTATGTGGAGGCATGAAAATTATACTTTCGCAATTGTATAATCAAACAACTACTGAATGGTTATTTATACACAATTTTTACCTAGTGAATTTAAAAAAAAACTAGGGAGTTATTCTTAACGTTTTCGAATTCAACCTATAATTTCTTTTCAAACCATAATAAATCTGCTAAATGTCGGTTATAGTTACTAACAATTAGCAAGTACATAAAAAGATAAAATGAAAGAACTTACTGCCAGAAATAGGAAATAATAGTATCAATTAGACCGAACGGTGGTTGAAACAGAAGAATTTTGAGGCTTAAATTGATGGGACCTAGATCAGCGCATGTATTTTGACTCTCTTGTGACTTGATGGAAATTGTAATTACCTTCAAAGGTTGTGATGGGTGGCAAATATCTATTCAATTTTAACTAATGATTTATTATTCGAACTTCAAGAATAAAACTAACTTTGTTAGACAACAATGATTTTGATATTTTTTTTCTTAAATGTGAATTCAGAATAGTTAGATGTCAAAGTGATATCGAAATAAAATACTAAGAAGTAGAAATAGTACTACTTAATATACTCCCTCTGTCCCAATTTATATGACTTACTTTCCTTTTTAGTCAGTCCCAAAAAGAATGACACATTTCTATTTTAAGTAACAATTTGCCTATGAAATGTCTTTTTTACCCTTAATGAAATGATTTACAACCACACAAATTTCTATCATTTATTTTGGACCACAAGTTTTAAAAGTCTTTCCATTTTTCTTAAAGTTTGTGCCAAATCAAAGTACATCATATAAAATGGGACGGAGGGAGTATTAATTTAGGCCTTTGGCTTGACCCACTGACCCAAAGAAAACGTGGGTTGGATGGGGAGTGTCTTTGCTCGTGCTATAAATACCACCTCTCTCTGTTTTCTATTTCACTTCCATAGTGTAAGCCAGCTCAGAATTCAGAGTTCTCAGCTTTCCTTCTTTTTTGTATCTAAAATTAGAATGGCATTCCTAAAGGCATTTGCAGCTTTGCTCATTGCATCACTTGTGCTTGTCCATTTCACTTATGCCCTTCAAGAGGTTCCCCTTTTTCTTAAATTAGCATGTTTATTTCTAATTAACATCTTGAAAATAACGTTTGATTTTGAAAT